AGGCCGCTCTGCAAGGTGTCGGCAGCATAAAGCACAGGGCCAGCCTTCAGCTCCTTCCTCCTGCACGCCTTGCGAGCGACCAAGACTGCGGTGGAGATGAGGAAGAGCAGTGAGACAAAGACCAGGGAAATGATCAAGTAGGTGGTCAGGGAGCCGCCCTGATCCTCGGTGGCCGGGCTGCTGTGCGGCAGGCGCACGTCTGAGAAGTCCTTGAGCAGCAGAGCGCTCAGAGCTGCCGTGGCTGACAGCGGGGGCTTGCCGTTGTCTCTGACCAGGACAACGAGCTTCTGCTTCACGCTGTCTCTCTCTGTCACCGGCCTCCTCAGACGCACCTCCCCGCTTTGGAGGCCCACGGAAAACAGCCCTGGGTCGCTGGCCCTCAGCAGGTGGTACGAGAGCCAGGAGTTCTGCCCCGAGTCGGCATCGACGGCCACCACTTTGCTGATGAGGTAGCCCGCCTCGGCCGACACGGGCACCAGCTCACTGGAGGCCGGGCTGCCGTCCTGGGCTGGGTAGAGCACGAGCGGGGCGTTGTCGTTCTCGTCCAGCACGACCAGGCGCACGCTGACGTTGGCTCTCAGGGGAGGAGAGCCCGCGTCAGAGGCACTGACCGTCACCTCGGTCTGCCTCAAGTGCTCGTAGTCCAGGGGCCGCAGCACAAACACGTGTCCCTTCTCCGAGTCCACAGAGATGCAGGAGCACCAGGCCCGCCCTGCCCCTTGCTCTGGGGCCAGGGAATAGGTCACCTTGGCATTGAGCCCCACGTCAGCGTCTGCAGCGCTCACGGCTCCCACAAACACCGTGGGCACGCTGTTCTCACGCACGTACATGCTGTAGGAGGTCTGGTTGAAGACGGGCGCGTTGTCATTGACATCCGAGATGTCCACGGTGAAGGTCTGCGTGCTGGTGAGAGGAGGCGAGCCCGCATCTGCTGCCGTGACACTGAGGATGTACTGAGGCGTCTCCTCGCGGTCCAGCGCGCTCACTGTCACCAGCTCATAGTAATTCTTATAGGCTGGCCGCAGGGAGAAGGAGAGCTGATCCTCCAGGGCACAGGAGATCTTCCCGTTGGCACCAGAATCCCGGTCCCTGACCGTAAACAGGGCAACCACCGTGCCGGGCACTGTGTTCTCAGGGAGGGGACTGCTGAAGGAACTGACCACCAGCTCTGGGGCGTTGTCATTCACATCCACCACCTCCACCAACACTTTGCAGATTGCTGACAGGCCCCCTCCATCTGTGGCCCTCACACTGAGCTCATGAGTGTCAGCTTCCTCAAAGTCCAGAGGTTTTGTGAGTTTAATTTCACCGGTTATGGGATCAATCAGAAATGCTGACTCACTGTGACCAACCATTTCATTGAGTTGATAGGAGATGTCCCCATTAACACCTGCATCTGGATCAGTTGCCAGCACAGTCAGAACCACAGAGCCTTCTGGCATGTTCTCCAGAACCTGCTTTGTGTATACCTCCTGCGAGAATATGGGAGCATTGTCATTTACATCCAGAATGACTATTTTCACTTCGGTGGTACCAGTCCTGGGAGGAGAGCCCCCATCCATGGCAATAACACTGAAACTGACCTCTTCCTGCTCCTCTCTGTCTAGTGGCTTTTCTAAAACAAGTTCAAGATACTTCTTGCCAGTAATCCCAGTCCCATAGGAGACAGTGAAATATTCATTCTCTGGAGAGATGCTGTACGCCCAGGACGTGTTGATGCCACTATCGAGATCTTGAGCCTCCTCCAGCAGGAAATGTGATCCCGATTCGCTTGTTTCAGGGATATCAAAAGTGACTCGATCCTTGGGGAAGACGGGTGAATGGTCATTGATGTCCTCGAGAGCCACCTCGACCCGAAAGAACTGCAGGGGGCTGGAGAGCAGCAGCTCGAAGGGGAGCATGCAGGTGGCGGACTGGCCGCACAGCTCCTCCCGGTCCACCCCCCCCGCCACGACGAGGCGGCCGGAGGCGCGCTCGAAGCGAAAATGCTGCCGGCCGTCCTCCGAGACCAGGCGGGCGCGGCGAGCCGAGCTTTCCTGGAGACAATTTATAAACAAAATTGTTCTTTTGGGTCTTCTGTGTTTTTGGAAGCTACACAAAATGTAGACCTAAGAAATAAAACATAACAAAAAGATGGATGAATGCATGCATGGATAGACAGATAAAGTAGTTTGCATTTAAAAGGACTGGCAAATCAATTATTATAAAGGACATACTGAATTTCTTGGGATTTTGCATATTTATGAAATGAGTGACTGATTCATCATTAGTAGGGGAGAGGAAAGCAATATTTCTGCTATTCAAGTATGACAAAAATGAGATATTAAAATACTACCTTTTCCTATTGCTTATACTTTCACAGAAAGAAAATATGCTCATAACCAGGGTGGAGAATGAGTTTTACTGTTTGTTTGGGTTTTTTTTTTCTGTTACAAGAAAGTTACATTTTAATTGTATATACCAGGAAATATACAAAGATATGCTTAGTTGATTAGATGCATATGTAGTAGAACTAAGCTATGTATATCATACATTCTTTACTTTTTATATGAGGTTTTGTAATCCTCTTATAACAACAGTAGAAACAACTTTTGGATCTATGACCCATGATATACCTCAGGAATGTAGACAAGAGCAAAGTCATGGACAGTATGAGAAAATATAAGTCCTGTGTGCCCTAAGACACCTACAATCCTTATCTGATTCTTTATTTTATATTTAATATGTGAGAGGTAATGGTAAGAATTTTTAAAAGTCTTACTTAATTGAGTCAAAATCAAAATGTATATGAGTTTGTTTTGCTTTCTTCCAAAGTCAGTATTAGTTTTGTACAAAATTAATTTTTTGCTTCTTTCAGGCTGAACTCGGAATGTTATATAAATTATTGTTCCTCAGAAACAGAGGATGCAAGGAATAGGGGAGGGAGCAGTAACCATACTTGGTGGAATAATTGGTCTTTCAAAGCTGGGAGAAGATTTGTCTTTGCTTTCTGATTATCTGTCATTGTTTACAAACACCAGATGTCTTAGCAAGGCCTCAGTTTTTGCCACATATTTTCTTTCCTGATGAATCATTCCACCCATTTTGACACCAAGAAAATGCCAGTTCCTTTTTTATTCTAAGGTTGCCTTTCTGAAATCTCCTTTTAATGTGCTGCTGTAGCTCAGAGGAAAACTGCAGGGACCTTGGGAATCTACTGACTCCCTGTTTTTTAAATATTAAGGTGAAAAAATTTCACTGACTTAATACTAAGAACTTGAAAAATCAGTGTCTCTCACCTCTCTTTCTCTTTCCATTGCACAGACTATTAACAGAGCCATTTTGGGTATGCTGACAAAAACTCCAAGGTTTATAGCAGCTGGTATGTTTGGAGACCATCTGTGCCTCTCCAGTTTCAGCCAAATTAGTCTCCTGCCCAGTTGCAGAGAGAAGAAGAGAAGCTGAGAGTGATAGGGACGCTGGGCAGGTGGGGAGCAGGGCACCAAGGGCAGCAGTAGAGTCAGATCCATGCCAAGGCTTTCAGCTTCACTGTGTCCCAGCTGCTTTGATGGACAAAAGGTAATCTCTTTGAATGACCTGATGGTTAGCTCATGCTGAAATCTACACCCTCAGAGTAAGCTTTTTCTGCAAAAAAACCAAGCAAAGAGGTTGAGGGGCTGTTTGCTGGCCCATAGGATTTGTGCCCAGACACGGTTGCCCTGGCCCACGGCGCAGTGCTGAGGGGGCAGGCTGGGCAGGATGGGCTTGAGGAATTTGAACTCGCTGTTGCCCGAGCCCGTGGTCAGGCTGATCTCGTAGCAATAGGCGCGGGGCAGGGTCCCTGCAGCGGCTGCATCGGCCAGGCCGCTCTGCAAGGTGTCGGCAGCATAAAGCACAGGGCCAGCCTTCAGCTCCTTCCTCCTGCACGCCTTGCGAGCGACCAAGACTGCGGTGGAGATGAGGAAGAGCAGTGAGACAAAGACCAGGGAAATGATCAAGTAGGTGGTCAGGGAGCCGCCCTGATCCTCGGTGGCCGGGCTGCTGTGCGGCAGGCGCACGTCTGAGAAGTCCTTGAGCAGCAGAGCGCTCAGAGCTGCCGTGGCTGACAGCGGGGGCTTGCCGTTGTCTCTGACCAGGACAACGAGCTTCTGCTTCACGCTGTCTCTCTCTGTCACCGGCCTCCTCAGACGCACCTCCCCGCTTTGGAGGCCCACGGAAAACAGCCCTGGGTCGCTGGCCCTCAGCAGGTGGTACGAGAGCCAGGAGTTCTGCCCCGAGTCGGCATCGACGGCCACCACTTTGCTGATGAGGTAGCCCGCCTCGGCCGACACGGGCACCAGCTCACTGGAGGCCGGGCTGCCGTCCTGGGCTGGGTAGAGCACGAGCGGGGCGTTGTCGTTCTCGTCCAGCACGACCAGGCGCACGCTGACGTTGGCTCTCAGGGGAGGAGAGCCCGCGTCAGAGGCACTGACCGTCACCTCGGTCTGCCTCAAGTGCTCGTAGTCCAGGGGCCGCAGCACAAACACGTGTCCCTTCTCCGAGTCCACAGAGATGCAGGAGCACCAGGCCCGCCCTGCCCCTTGCTCTGGGGCCAGGGAATAGGTCACCTTGGCATTGAGCCCCACGTCAGCGTCTGCAGCGCTCACGGCTCCCACAAACACCGTGGGCACGCTGTTCTCACGCACGTACATGCTGTAGGAGGTCTGGTTGAAGACGGGCGCGTTGTCATTGACATCCGAGATGTCCACGGTGAAGGTCTGCGTGCTGGTGAGAGGAGGCGAGCCCGCATCTGCTGCCGTGACACTGAGGATGTACTGAGGCGTCTCCTCGCGGTCCAGCGCGCTCACTGTCACCAGCTCATAGTAATTCTTATAGGCTGGCCGCAGGGAGAAGGAGAGCTGATCCTCCAGGGCACAGGAGATCTTCCCGTTGGCACCAGAATCCCGGTCCCTGACCGTAAACAGGGCAACCACCGTGCCGGGCACTGTGTTCTCAGGGAGGGGACTGCTGAAGGAACTGACCACCAGCTCTGGGGCGTTGTCATTCACATCCACCACCTCCACCAACACTTTGCAGATTGCTGACAGGCCCCCTCCATCTGTGGCCCTCACACTGAGCTCATGAGTGTCAGCTTCCTCAAAGTCCAGAGGTTTTGTGAGTTTAATTTCACCGGTTATGGGATCAATCAGAAATGCTGACTCACTGTGACCAACCATTTCATTGAGTTGATAGGAGATGTCCCCATTAACACCTGCATCTGGATCAGTTGCCAGCACAGTCAGAACCACAGAGCCTTCTGGCATGTTCTCCAGAACCTGCTTTGTGTATACCTCCTGCGAGAATATGGGAGCATTGTCATTTACATCCAGAATGACTATTTTCACTTCGGTGGTACCAGTCCTGGGAGGAGAGCCCCCATCCATGGCAATAACACTGAAACTGACCTCTTCCTGCTCCTCTCTGTCTAGTGGCTTTTCTAAAACAAGTTCAAGATACTTCTTGCCAGTAATCCCAGTCCCATAGGAGACAGTGAAATATTCATTCTCTGGAGAGATGCTGTACGCCTGAACTGTGTTGCTGCCAATATCGAGATCTCGAGCAACATCCAAAGGGAAACGAGAGCCCGGGTCGCTCTTTTCAGGGATCCTAAAACTGACACGATCGTCACGGAAAATAGGTGAATGATCATTGATGTCCTCGAGAGCAACCTCGACCCGAAAGAACTGCAGGGGGCTGGAGAGCAGCAGCTCGAAGGGGAGCATGCAGGTGGCGGACTGGCCGCACAGCTCCTCCCGGTCCAGCCTCCCCGCCACGACGAGGCGGCCGGAGGCGCGCTCGAAGCGAAAATGCTGCCGGCCGTCCTCCGAGACCAGGCGGGCGCGGCGAGCCGAGAGCTGCGCCGGCGTCAGCCCCGCATCCTCCGCCAGCTTGCCCACCAGGGAGCCGCTTTCCGCCTCCTCGGCTACGGAGTAGCGGATGGGCTCGGCGCGAGCGAGCGGCAGCGACAGGAAAGCAGAGAGACAAAGCACTTGCCTTGTCTGTCTCCACTAAAGCAGTCAAGTGTTCTCTTTATTTCAGTCTAACACAATTTTTCAGTTTCTAATCCCACAGTTATAACAATTTACACTGTTGAACTGTATCACTTCACCACATCTCAACGTGAGGGAGGCTTTTTGAGTATTTCATGCATCACAGACATCACTCGAACAACCAGTTATTCTAGATGGGGTGGCAGTCCTTCTCTAGAGGAACAGGCTCAGCACAGTGCTCTGTTCATTTCAGTGGAGAAAGGCCAAACATGGGAATGCAAATACTCTAACACAAACACAGAAAATCATGAAGAGACAGCTTTCTAGTCCCATTAAGAAGCCTTGGGATTCAGGAGCAACAATGAAAAGAAAAAACTCATTTATTTTCAAGTCCTTCTTTACTCTTCCTCTCAAAATTTAGTTGAAGTATTTATGGAGTTTTCCTCCA